TGATCCTCCTCAAACAACACCAGCAACCAAGTGCGGCCTACACTGCTTTTTGTATAGAGGATTTATAATGCAGGGAAAGATTCCAGGGTTATAAATATATATTTTATATATATTCTACCTAGACCACGCTATAGGGGGCCATATTTAGAGGCTGCAGAACTGCATGTGAGTAAGGGATCAAACCCTTCCTGAGGGGTGGGGTTAGCTATGTCATCAGGCCATAGAGGTGCTCTTGGGGGGGCTCAGCTTTTTCTTTAGCTATGGGAGTAATTTGTGGTGTCTGTCCCAAAGAGAGGCGAATTTAAAAATTGGGTCCCTGTGGCAGCTGTCTAGTGGACCAAAGATGATGGGGTTGGGGTTGGGTGCAAGGCGCTTGTAGGCTTCTGGGCTCCACAGACCTATTCAGAACATAACTGCTGGAGACATCAAACTTGACCTCCTTTCTGCCAAAAGTGACCAGCCAAATAATCTCAGGGAAGGTTTGCAAGGAGGGTATGACGATAGCAATATCGAGCCCCTCCTCAAATTGTCAATCATCCTGGTGGTATAAGCTTGCCTTACAGTATATCCTCACACGTGGACCTAACCCTCCAGATAGGCATCTGATCCTTTTAAAAAGGAAGCGTTTGGCGGCAGCGGCAGCAGCAATCACCGCGGTTTCATGGGGAGGCAAATCTTTAACTCACTTAACTTGGTTTTCCTTGCCTTTACTCATCTCCCTGTCCCCAGAAACGCCCCGCTTTTCTAGAGTGCGTTTTTATCCTTTTCCTGCCTCATTTATGCACATCTGCAGTCCTGCCCAAGCTGTCTCCCTCCATCCCTTGGCCCCTTGCTACCTTGCCATTCCACACAGTGCTTTTGTTTTGGCACCAATTCAGCTGAGAGACACACACACTCACAAGCACACAGCAGAAAATCCTTGGGGTTGCATGCAAGCTGCATCAGCTGCCCTGAAACTTGAGCTGGTTCTCTCCCCGACACAAACCCAGCCACCAGAAGACTGGTCTCTCCTTGCTGGGTGACCCTTCACAGCTGGCTTCACAACCTAACAGAAGGCCAGCTACACCGTCAGTGCCATAACCACCTTCTGAAGAGAGGAGAAAGGCGGGGGGAAATGGCTCTTGTGTTATGAGATGAGCTTGAAGTCTGAAGGCAGCGTTGTTCCAGCGGTGGATCAAGGGAGACCCCTGGTGTTCCTTAGAAATGCTTCTCAAGAGATTTCCCCCAACGAGATCAGTAGTGCCAGGCAAGCTCCCTGGAAACGCCGCTTGATCTTAACCTAGCCGGGTGCAGTTTCATGTGAGCCTTCTAGTCTGCCCTCGCCCCAACTCAAGGGAGTCCCGGAAGACTTGGCCATCAATCTCCTTGACTTGGTTTTGTGCAGAAACTCCATTGCAGGGGTGGAAATATTTTTTTATTTTTAAATGCAAGCTCCTGCTAGCAAAGCAAAACCCCAACCAGCCTCTCTCAAGAAACCTTCTTTCTCACCGCACCCCTGCTTTCTTTAGGAATTCCTGAGAAATCTCGGGGTTCGATACCCCACAATGTATATACCAAGGATCAGCCGAGCAGTGAGATCGCACCTGCCCACACGTTATTTGGAACTGGGGTTGCCTTTCACTCGGTGTTGCTGACCAGGTTATTCCCAGCACCGTGTAGCACTATAAAAGTTGCTTTTAGCCACAGGGTGCCACAGATGTAGAATCTGAAAGCGAAACCACAAGGTCCTGGGTTGGGGGTCTCATCTGCCATAAATGTAATTCATGCACGATCCCTTGGCTGCCCTTCTGTGACATGCTGTTTTACGGAAGGGACAGCAGGTGGAGCCATATCAGTAAGTCAACCGGGGCCTCTTGGTTCTTCAAAGCGTTGGAGTTGTTGGCCTTTTGCAGTATTTTGCAGGAATTGAGTGTGGACTGGCGGGGTGTGTGTCTGTTCCTCCTCCTACCCCTGATCCCCCTTTGGCTGTGTATGGAAGGGACTTGTCCTCAAAGCTGGTCTGTCGCATGGAGCAAGAGGGCTCTGGACCTATAGAGGGCTGCTGAGCACCCAGACTCGGGGTTTGCTGCTGCTTCTGGCAACTCTGCTCACCCTCCCCAGCCAAGACACCTCCTATTTGTAGGACCCTTTGCCCAACTGGAGGGTTGCAGTGGGTCCTCCCTAGGCAACCGCGGCGTGTTTGCGTCCTCCGGTTGGGAGAATTCCATCTGCCGAAACTAGTCGAGGGGGATAAACGCAGGTGGTGCTTTCATCCCAGAGGACAGGTAGCAGACCTAAGGGTTGAGGGGAGGGGGAAAAGTCAAGTGAAACCTGCCCCCCCCCCACTTGATGTCCTCAGAGACGGACCTACACAGATATTGCACACGTTCCAGTTCTTCCAAGTGCCTTTTATACTTTTTGTTCATAATGTGCTTGTATGTTTAAGAAAACTCAATATTTTGCTGGGATATTTTATATATATATATATACGAACATAAGGGAGTAGTCTTAACTCCTCCAGCTGGGGCTAAAAGCGAAGAAGAACCCAGAGGTTGTTTTTTTTTTATATAGAGTGATATTATATATATTTAGTCTTTAGGGGTTTTTGTCTTATTACTGTACAAAGAGCCTAACCCAGTATATTCGGAGAAGAAAGAGTGTGACCTTCTCGGCTTCCCCGTATTATGGAATGTACAATAGCCCCTGCCAAATCCGTTGCAGTCAGATGAGGTGTTTTTTTAAAGTCACACTTAAAAAAAAAGAAAGAAAATGAAAAAAAAAATTCTAAACTGCAAAATGTAAAAGCATCGGCTGGGTGGGGGGGATAAAATCCCCCGGGATCTGCATTCACGTCTCTTACCATTGCTGTTTTGTACTTTCGTGAGACATTCTCAAGATGGTGCGCTATGGATTAGTTCACACATGCAAAAGTGCCGCACTTATTTATGGCTTTTCCCTTCTGTGTGGCGCCCTCCATTTTGGGCTCCCAGTTCCCATCGATGATGGGAGCTAGAGTCCAGCAACATCTGAAGCATGATGTATTGGCCACTGCCCTCCTGTCGTAACCCATCCGCCCCACCTGGGAAAAATGAGAAATGCAAGTTCTGCACTGTCCTGTCTGGGGCACAACTATTTAAGGAAAATTTAAGGAAGAAGCAAGTTCTGCTTGACTTCCTAAACTTTTTTTTTTTAAAAGCCTGAATCAGGCAGCATAAAATCCCCTCTTCAAAAAACCCCCCAAAACAGCCAATGCTTATAAGTGCAATTCTCACAATCTGTGCCTTTTTAGCATTCTGGATTCTTGACCTGGAGTGCAGCCTCAGTCGCGAACTGGATTTCAAGAGCAGTTTGGGTCTATAGACTCGCGGTTGGCCTGGGGCACAAATTGGAACTTGTGCTGTTGTTGCTTGATCTCTCCCCTTCCCCTGAATCGTCTGAATTAACCACGGGGTAGCTAATCGGTGGTCAGCTGTCTTGAGAATGCTCTCAGCTTGAGCTCGGGGGTTGCTTTCCTAGAGTTCAGTTGAGGATTGAGCTCTGTGTGGTTCCCTCCGCCTGGCAACGTTTTTGTATGAGGTTTGCAGTGAAAATACTAGCCAGAAGAAGGAAGAAGAGGGAGATGTTTCCTCGCCAGAGGGTGGGGAGATCACGTGAGTTTCCACTCTGTATAAGGATGGGGTAGAAGGGGAAGAGCAGGGATCCTGGATTCCACATCCCTCCTGCTTATCTGAGCACAGGAGTCGTGGGCCCCTCCTTCCCGCACCTTACGTAGAGAGAAATCGGAGGCTTTTTGTATGTTACAGGAGGGTTACAGGTACGTGTAGGAGAGGCGAGGAAGAGACTGAACCAAAGATAACTTTTGTAAAAGATGCCAAATTAAAAGCTATATTAATCGCAGCAGCCTTTGTGGTTGGAATACAGCATGTATTTTGCATTTTGTGTCTCATTTATTGCATTGGGTTGGGCCAATCAAGGGGGGGTCCCTTCTAACTCTATGATTTTCCCTGGACGGAACGTGCCCTTCAGTTATGATGGTGCGTTTTGGGCACACATGGAACTCTTGTGTAACTTGAATATATAGCCTGCTGCGCAGAAGGAAGAGCTTAAATGGTTCCCTTTCCGCTCAGTTGCAGGCAGCCCCTAGACCAGGCATTGGCAAACTCGGCCCTCCAGATGTTTTTTGAGACTACGATTCCCATCATCCATGACCATTGGGTCCTGTTAGCTAGGGATGATGGGAGTTGTAGTCCCAAAACATCTGGAGGGCCGAGTTTGCCTGTGCCTGCCCTAGACAGTTTCTCATGAAGAAGTGTAGCCCTCGGGATTGAAAGAGTCACTCATCCCTTCCCACTTACCTGGGAGTAAATGCCACTGAGCTGAGTGGGACGCAAGTGCCTATACTGTTAAAAATCTTCCTTTGCTCCTTTGTTAAGTGATCTACTTGCCAGGCTTCGAACTGCCAACTTGTAGGTTCCTGGCCTCTCACCCATGAGCACCCACTTCATCCATTCCCTTTTGCCTGTGAGCAGAGACTCGAGTGACGAATAGATATTTTATTGCTTTAGAGGCCAGCGATGTGCTGGGGTAAAATTCTTTCCCATCTGTTTTTTCTTTTTCTTTACACACTCCATAAATTAATATAGTATTTACAAAAAGGAAAGAGAAAACGTAGGGGTCGGGTTAAACAGCGTCTTCATATCAACCACACAAATACAGTTTTGTTTTTTTCTTCTTTTAAAACACGGGGGGGGGGGGACACGAGCACACAAGTGAGGCCTGGTAGGGGCTATTTTTTTGTTTTTGATTTTTTTTACAGAGGGTCACACCAGAGCATGACAAGACAATATTGCACTTCGAAAGTCAGGGGTGGGTAAAAAAAGGTTAAACTCCCTCTCCCGTCATACAACTCCCTGTATTTTGGAGCGGGCCTGGATTTTCAAGTTCCTCCCCACAATTTTGGGAGCTGGGAATCAGGTTGGTAGGTTCTGGCTTGCAGGACCCTGCGAGGACCCTGTCAATAAACACGTTTTGCTGCATCCCAGTTTGCAACGACCTACGTGTGCACCTTAAAACTATCGGGTGTAGAGCAGCAACACAGGAATGGTGGTATTTGGACTGCTTGGACTTAAAAAGGGATGATTCACACAACCACTCTTGTGTTCTGGCTGGACCTTTTTGAAGACACCTTCACAGCACACTCGGGCAAGCCCCAGATTGTGACGACCCAAGGTGGCTTTAAAGGCATCGGTAATGATGAGAAGCAGGCAGAAATCTGACCCAAGAAACTTACGTCAGGTGAGAAAAGATCCTGCACTTCATATCAACAAGGCTTGTGCAGGAGAACTTCCCGGCATGGGGGAGGGGCATTTGGGTGTTCTTTGCTGAAGCACCAAAATAGATTGTGCCAGCCACAGCAGCAAGCTGGTTGTCTCTAGAAGCCTGGCTGTTAAATAGGCCAAAAGAATTTCATGGGGTGGCAGGTGCACTGAAAGGGATTAACGCAGCCTGTGGAAATTTTCAGAGATGGTGTGGAGCTGGCCGGTCCAGGAAGTTTAATGGGACTTGTCTAGGGAGGGAGAGCTGAGGCAGATCGTGATCAAAAGTGCATGGAGGTATCTTCCCGTGGTATTGGAAGAGGTGATGAAGAGGACCCTTTCAGCTCTCAAGTCTTAAGTGTTGCTGGACTGCAAATCCCATCATCCCTGACCATCGGTCATATGGGTTGCTGTGAGCTGGGAGTCCAGTAAGATCTGGAGTCTCACAGGGCCCCCCCCCAAATCTCTGCCACACTGCTGCCTGTCCTGAGCCCTCGTCCCTTTCTTCCAGAAAGCCTTTTTGCCCCAATCTGGGCCTCCCCAGGAATGTGAAGACAAGGCCCTCCATTGATGAAGTTGAGAGGGGGAAGGGATGAGTATTCCAGCCCAGGGTGAAGGGAACGGGGAGGAGAAAGTGAGGGTGCTTTGGGGAATTAGACTCAGTATAATCAATGAATAAAATTTTCCTATAAAAATAGAGACATCAAACAAATGGGGCAGGTTTTGTTTTCTTTCCTTTGCTTTAAACTCTCTTAAGAATCGGGCTACTGATGGAGAGGGACCAGCAGTTGGGGGCTCCGAATAATGCCTGCGTTCAGCTGCCTGGCAGACTCTTCGCTTCCTTGGCAGTGCCCAGGCTGGCCTCTGCCACCCCTTCCGGCTTGCTGGCCGTTGCCCCTGCCGTCCGCTCTGTCTGCAGCCGCTTGTAATTCTGCACCTGGCTCTCTATCGCCTCCAAGCTGTCGGGGCTGAAATCGCAGCCTTCGTTCTCCGAGCTGCATTCGCTTAGATCTGTGATCTCCAACTCGGAATCGGAGCCAGGGTCCTCTTTGGTCCCTCGCCCCCCTGAAGGGCTCTGGGCCCTGGGACCCAGCAGCTCCTTCTCACGCTCGCTGGCCGCATTCCCAGCGCCGCGGAGGGGCAGGGTCATGCCATGGGGAGGGAGACAGAGGCGAGGGACGGAGCCGCCCCCCAGGGCTGCAGCCCGCTCTGTGCTATCTCCCGGCAGTAGTGAAATGGGTGCTGGAAGCTGGGCTAATGACCCAGACAGGGGGTTGGGGTAGAAGTGGGGGGAGTACAGGGAGGCGGGCAGTTTGGAGCTGTTCAGGGGGAAAGAGCTGGACAGGTAAGGGTTAAAATTCCAGGGGTAATCTGGGAAGGAAGCGTTCCTGCCATACGGAGTCAGCAAACTGGGGGGCTTTGTATATCCAGCAACACCTGTGGGGGAGAATGGGGGAAAAAGAGGTGTGAGTAACCAGTCCATGCTGGGTTCAGAGGCTTTGGGTTTGCTGGAATCCCAATGGATTGTCGTGATATTTTCATATTACCCTTTTGGCGTGAATCATAGCAATATGGAAAGAGAAGTAATCACCTTTATGGGGAGTTCTTTTAAAAAACCCAAAATGAACAAGCAGCAAAAATAATAATTAGGGACCCCTACCTTGAAAGCATCTCCTGCCAACCTAGCAGTTTGAAAGCACGTCAAAGTGCAAGTAGATAAATAGGTACCACTCCAGCAGGAAGGTAAACGGCGTTTCTGTGCACTGCTCTGGTTTGCCAGAAGCAGCTTGGTCATGCTGGCCACATGACCCGGAAGCTGTACACTGGCTCCCTCGGCCAATAAAGCGAGATGAGTGCCGCAACCCCAGAGTCGGCCATGACTGGACCTAACGGTCAGGGGTCCCTTTACTTTTACCTTTACCTTGAAAACATAGCCTTCCTAGATTTTTATTATTATTATTTTGGAAAGGTAGAGGATAAACAGCTTGCTCTCACCTGACCCCAGAAAAGGGAAGGTTGCATCCAGTCTGAGCTTCTCTGTCTCAGTTTGGCGTTCAAAGAGTGGGGTGCGGGTTGCCGGGTCCCCCAAACGGGGGCTTGAGAAGAGGCTTTGCAGGGTCTAGGGGGAAGAGAAAAGGGAATGAATGAGCTACGCAGATGCACGGGCTCAAATGGTAAGTGGCTGATCTCGCTGCCTCCTGATCTGACCATCCTGGCCCTGTGGGCTGAAATATTAAAAAAAGGAGAAGATGGGGTAGAAATGACCACTCTGCACATGCTCCTTGGCACGATTGCAGTACAACGTTCTGACATCAGAGGCCCAGCTCATGACTTGAGCTGAAACGTGCTCTGAAGGGGAGCAAACGGCGTGATACACCCTCAACATGTACCCTCTTAAAAAACAGACGTGGTTCCCTCTTTCCCGCATCATACCTCAGGGGTCAGAGGGGCACAATCTGCCCCATGGTTGCTCCCATTGAAAGGGTTCTGAGCCAGCAGAAACGGGGAGTTGGCAGCCATGTCCAGGAGAGGGTAATTCACCAGGACCACTTTGCTGAAGTTGAACTTGTAGGTGAAGCGTTTGCCCTTGGTCTTGTGCAAGATCCGTTTGTTGTAATAGTACCTGGCAGGGAAAGAAGCAAGGGGCCAGGTGAGCCAGTAGCGAGCAGGGTGGCTAAAGCGTCATTGTGGGATGTGCAAAACTGAGGTGGCAGCTGCTGACCAGAACCAGGAGTGTCTACCTTACAACAAAGGCCTGCAAATATTCTGCGGTTAAACCAAAGACTAGTCCAGTGAATAGATAGCCAGGCCAAATCAAAAGCCAGTGAAATTTTATGTGGTTGGTTTTTCATACAATGGAACCATTTGTTTCACCAAGACTGGAGAAATCCGTGTTCAAATCCCCGCTTAGCCATTATACCCAACGAGGAACAGTTTGCAAGCCACCATCTCTCAGTCTAGGGACGTGGGTGGTGCTGTGGGTTAAACTACAGAGCCTAGGACTTGCCGATCAGAAGGTCGGCGGTTCGAATCCCCGCGACGGGGTGAGCTCCCATTGCTCGGTCCCTGCTCCTGCCAACCTAGCAGTTCGAAAGCACATCAAAGTGCAAGTAGATAAATAGGTACTGCTCTGGCGGGAAGGTAAACGGCGTTTCCGTGTGCTGCTCTGGTTTGCCAGAAGCGGCTTAGTCATGCTGACCACATGACCCAGAAGCTGTACGCCGGCTCCCTCGGCCAATAAAGCGAGATGAGCGCCGCAACCCCAGAGTCGGCCACGACTGGACCTAATGGTCAGGGGCCCCTTTACCTTTACCTATGTCTCAGTATTCTTGTAGGGATAAAACAGGCAAAGAAACAGGTGCACAGCCTTGAGCTCCTTGGATATTATTATTATTAGCAGCAGTAGTATTATAAGTATTAGTTTTCTTATTAGCCAAGGGCGGGCGGGGAGGGGAAGGAGAAGGCAAGAGCTGCGTTTTGCAGAGAGTGAAATCACAAACCCAGTTAACTGAAAGGCCTGCTCAGCATCTGCAACCAGCAAGAAGAGCTCCTGATATTTTGCCAAACATGGCTTCACACACACATGACAAAGTTGATTTCTGCGGCCATGAAGACTAGAAACTTGCAGTTTTAAAAGAAGAAGAATAAATCTTAAGAATTCCAGGAAGCTGGATTCTGCACTACCCGATACCAAATTCCACACTACGTGTTGCAGTCGTGAAGCAATGTATGGCAGCACCCAACATGTGGAACGAAGAGAGAATCAAAGGGAGAAGAGTTTTTTGGTTCCAATTAGTCAAACATGAGGCAGAGCATGAAAGGATTTGGTGTGCCAGCCCCCGTCCTCAGTAGGAAACATGGGTCCCAACAACTAAATAGTGGTAACCAGGACTGTGCGCAGTCAATGCAAAAATGAAATAAAAATAAACCTCTAAGCAATCTGAATTCTGCACCCCAAAATGATGAATTCTGCAACCTGCAGAAATTATGCAAATAACACACATGTGCGCTGTTTCTCTTTTCTATGACTTGCAGTGTTTACTTCATTGCTTAATTTTTCTGCTACTGCTGGTCAAGAGGAGGATGAGGATTAGCACATGAACATTGCTGTGGAGTTGGTGAAAAATCCATTGAAGAACAGCTGAGATGCAGGACCACCTACACAGAGGTTGATTATGCAAAAAAATATTGTTGTCCTTTCAAAAGAAAGGTGCATCACCTTCCAAGATTTCAAGCACCCTCTGCAGAATTCGAGAGAAGTTTTTTTAATTTTAATGAAAAACTGCACTATATTAAATCACATCACAAATGCTCTTGGCGCCCGCTTGTGACATTGGCGTCTGCCCTGACTTAGGAATCAGCGCCCTCTGCAGGCAACACCAAATTTCATCCCCTTAGTGGCCCATTAGGGGAAATTGGACTCGCCTCCACTTCCAAGCAAAGAGCGCCCTCTGGTGAGTCGTAACATGTCATCCAGCTCTATGCTAGCAATAAATCTCGGAGCGTTCCTTAAACTGGTGCCCTGGGGAGGGAGCGTGGGTTATCAGGGAGTCTTCAGCATTTATTTACTGGGCAGAGCAGAGACGAATTCCCGGGCTCAGTTAATAGGAAGCGTCAATAGCACTTAGCTCCTCATAAATATTAATTAGGGAGGTGGAATCTCAAGTGGCCAGAAAGGTGCAGTTAATTAATAAGCAATAACAAATATCGCTGTCGATCAATTACACAGAGAGGCTACTGGGAGAGGATGATAGCAAAGCTCTTGTGGGTTTTAGCAGTGTTTAGGAGAGGTAGGCAAAGGAACAGGGAATAAAAAGCATCCCTTCTCATCTCAAGAATTTGATAAAGTCCTGGGAATAACATAAGCAACTGGGTATGTTGCATGACTGCATGTGAAACCAGTATTGCACATAGCAAAAAATACTTACAAAGTGCAATCCTATACATGTCTACTCAGAAGTAAGTCACGTAGTTTTCAATGGGGTTTACTTCCAGGTAGGTATGTGTTGAAACTGCACCCTTAGTCCAGTTGCCTATGTTGCAGAAATCTAACTGATGAATCGTATCCGTTTTAACTGATTAATCAGCTGATGGATTAAGTTTGCCAGTGAGCAAACTAATAGTACTTTCTTTGTTTCTAAATGATATAAATGCGTGTGTCTTTCGTAAGCATCCCTTTCCTGCACGGGGAGAATGCCTCTTTTTACAGATGATGGTTCGCCACCAGCAGTTTATATCAGCTGTTATTTTGAAAACTGAAAAATAACTTCCAGACAAATAAAATAAAGAAAGATGTTGCAGAATTAATCAGGGCATGTTGCAATGTGTGTGTGTGTGTGTGTGTGTGTGTGTGTGTGTGTGTGTTAGAACATAGCATTAATATAGTGCATTTCAAGACAACTGCAGCTCTGTTATCTCAGTTCCCCTTACCACAGACCTGAAAAGCAGGCCTATATTATGCAGAACTAGATAAACTAACAGGAAGGATTCGAAACCGGCGGGACCAGAAATTCATGGAAGACTGGAGTAAATTTACGGACTACTTGAAAAGTATTTGTGAAGATCAGACAACATTTGTCGGTTTGCAAGAAGTTTTGTGAGGAGTATTATTGGAAGTATTGCAAAAATGGAGAAGGGGAAGGATGATTTGTTAAGAGATGTAAAGGCAATATAAAGTTAAGAAGTGGTTAAACAGTGGATCATCAGAGGTGCTGAAGGAAGTCTAAAAAGATTGTATAAGTGATACGTTTTGTGGGACATTTTATAATTTATATGTTAAAATCAATAAATATATATATTTTTTAAAAAAAGGAAGGCAAGCCTGTATTATCCTGTCCACATCACAGATGTGAGGCTGAGTGATGGTGCCATTTTGGTTGGCATCTGTCTGGAGACAATGGAGGCGTGTGCCTTTGGCTACCCAGTGAGATTATGGCTGAGGTGGGATTTGAACAAACAACTCACTCACTCCTTCTTGCCCACTTCCTGACATACCCATCACATTACTAGCAATGCTGAAAGCCACTGCATGCAGAAGGTTGCCTTCTGTACCCTCTGAGCAGGACCACAAGCTCTGCTTTGGTCAGGCGGCTATGGTGGAGTGTTCAACTTTTTAAAGCATCAAATCGAAGGAACACTTAGAGACCTAAAATCCCTTCAGTTTCACAGTGGGCTTGTTATGTGGCACTACTCTCAGTGAAACTTGGTTGAACACAGCCCAATATCTTTTACGCATTAGACTTCCTACTTCATGCATAATCATGCACAGGTAGGGGGCATCCTCTCCCCGTTCTTTAATTAACCCACTCTGTGAATACGGGAGATTAACTAAAGCATGTTAAGAGGCAACAAATCCACTTTAATTTTGCTCGTGTACATTTTCACAAACCCTTTAATGGGTTATTTTTACACCAGGGCTGTAGGCAGACTGGGAGAAATCAAATAGCTCTGTAATTCTTCTTGGTCAACCTAGAGATTTCTGTCACTGAAGATGGAGGAGATATAGAAAGACAATCCCACCAGGCCCTCCATCTCAAGTTATGGCCAGCCCCTCCACCTCCTCTAGAGAAATGGGGCATGGATGGTGCAATTCGCTTCCTGGGTCTGTTAAATTCTAAACAAAATAAAAAAATTCCTTCCAGTAGCACCTTAGAGACCAACTAAGATATCTGAAGAAGTGTGCATGCACACGAAAGCTCATACCAATAACTAACTTCCATCCAGGCAAGGAGGAGATGTCATTGGGGTTTCAAGGGCACATTTCAGCCAGGCAGAAACATTTTAAGGCAAAATAAAAAAATTCCTTTCAGTAGCACCTTAAGAGACGAACTAAGTTTGTTACTGGTATGAGCTTTCGTGTGCATACACACTTCTTCAGATATCATACATTTAATTGAAACTATCTCCTCCCTTCAGAATCTCCAAAGCAGCAAGACGTGCAACTGTTTCTTTAGGCCATGTATGACTCCTTAAATTTAATCAATAACCAATCAGTTAGTTATAAAATGAACCAGTTTCAAACTTTTTAACCAATAGGTAACTCTAGTAGTTTTATTTAAAGGACTCAGGGAAGTTCCCCCACCTGGCCCCCACTCAAATGCCTGCCCTGATTGAACATTATCACACTGTAAGCATGCAGGAATAAAGAAATACAAAAACATAAATTCACCCTGGAAGTTGTTTTCCAAAGCAGTTGGGAGAACTAGACGGGTTTCAAAAAACCCGTTCAACCAGAATAGGCCGCAATGCTGCAGCGCAGGGCTAGAGGGCGCTGTGGCGCTACAGCGCAGAAGCCTGCGGATCCTGCCGCCCAAGAGGCGCTGTCCCGCAGCGAAAGTGCTGAAACTGTCCGGGTCCGGCGCCGCAGGGCGTCCCAGTTCCTCCCAGTGCCCACCCAGTGCCTCACCTCAAGGCCCTGCTCAGCTTGTCGTAGTTCATATGGGGCTTGCATTTACGGATTCCCCACAGCCTGGCCACCTCGTCCGGGTCCTTGATGACAAACTCGCCGTAGTCCCCTTGCCAGGCGATGACGTTCTGGTATTCCTCTTTTTGCAGAAGCTCCAGGATGAAATGCCACAGCTGGATCTGGCGGGACCCGGGGCTCGACTCTGGCTTGTAGGCCCAGTCTGGGAAGGCGAACCCTGCCGGGGAAGAGGTGGAAAGAATAAACCGGCTGGGGTCTAGAAAGGGGGGGGGGTTTGCTCTAGACAAACCATTTATGTTTCTAGAGATCATAAGGTTGCTGGATCTCTCTCTCTCTCTCTCTCTCTCTCACCTGCACCTTTGGAGCAGGTACGCAGGTACTTGCCTGCAGGGGCTCACGAATTTTGGAACCTCGTGAAGCATAGGAGCCAACTCTTAGGGGCCAAGGGGTCTTCTGCCCCCTCCCCATAAAATATTTGAGGAGGCAGCCCTGCCCCCAAGTGGATGGGCATTGCCATTCAAATGATGTGCGTGCACTGTGTCATGTGATCGATTTTGAGGGCTGGGGCTTACCTGGGCCCCCCAATATTTTATTCAAGTTGGCACCCCCGTTGAGAAAGGCAGCAGGACCTAACACTCTCTGGCGCAAGCCCCGTACCTATCTGTGTGGATGCAAAAGGAGGCTGCCCGTGTCCCGGAGCATGGCTGTTTTCCCTCTCCCGCCCCCCCCCCGCAGCATGCAAAGGAAAGGGGGTTAAATGTCCAAAATGCAGCGACCTCTCAGGAAACTGATGCATTGCGGTGCTGTCACCTGATTTAAAAGTCAATTGATTAAATGAGCTTTGGTTGATTAATTGATTAGTCACTAGCTAAATCTACACATGCTTGTATACGAGTAAAAAACCAAAATCATTCTGAAACCAAATGTGCATTGCCTTTTTTGGGGGGGGGTCCTGCTCAAATATTTTTATTTATTTCATAAAATAAATAAAAAGGGGGGAAACTTCAAAACAGATTTATAATAAGTGTTGGGGGGAAGGAACGTGAGGATGGCAAAGGGGTGGAATGGGATTGTGAATAACTGATTTAACTTCAGGCTTCCCCCAGTCCTTTCAGAGGCTGCGTTCGCACACATATTTGGAACTAAATCCTGCTGAGACCTGCGGGATTTGCTTCTGACTAATCACGGACAGATTCAGGCTGTCAGTTTCTCAGATTTTAGCACTAATTGTCTGTCTGTGTGTGTGTGTGTGTGTGTGTGTGTGTGTGTGTTAGAACAAAGAGGTCTAGAAGCTTGTTCTGGTTTGAAATGGAATGTGAAGGTTGTCATGTTTTTACAGAATTGTTGCTTGTTGTGGGGTCAGAGGGCATTCCACTGTTCTAGTGCTATTTATTCATTTGCTCAGCTTCTATCCCTCTCTTCATCAATGTATGATCCCAGGGTGGGTTACGGATGAAATAAAGCTTCAGTGCATGAGCACTAAAATATAACTGAACAACCATATTAAAACCTCAATTGATATATTAACAGAGCAACAGAATGATTACAAATTTACATCCGGTTGATTCAAATCCCTGTGAAGGTGCCTGCAGAAGTCTGGATAAAGACTTGTGTCTTCAGCTTATGCTGGAAAGTCAACAGTGTCAGTACCAGTGACAACGGAGAGCCCTCTCTTGTGCTGACACTACCTGTCTCATTCAGCAAAGGGCCACGAGAAGTGCCTCCCTTAAAGCTCTTAAAACACAGCCTGAACGGTTTAGGGTCATATTGTTTTGCTGAGTTAAAGTGCTATAAACACTTACTTGGGACTAAGTCAACTGAACTCTGCGGGACTTATTTTTCATTAAATTGCATGGATCAGGCTGTGATAGCAACTTATGCTAAGAATATCATCGGTTAAAAATGGACATGGTTAATTAATTAATTAATTAATTAATTGCATTTCACATGTTTCTCAAGGCAGTATATGAACCCACCATAAAACTGCTAAAAATAGTTTTTAAGACAGTGCGAAAACAACAACTGAAGACTGGTTTGAAAACAATGCAAAAGGAACACCTTAAGTAAGAAGCAGTCTTGAGAACAGATTTTCCTGAGTGTATAAAAGTCGATTTCAGCTTGGCTGTGAATTTTTTTGCAGTACAGTGGTACCTCGGGTTACATACGCTTCAGGTTACAGACTCCGCTAACCCAGAAATAGTACCTTGGGTTAAGAACTTTGCTTCAGGATGAGAACAGAAATCGTGCTCCGGCGGCACAGCAGCAGCGGGAGGCCCCATTAGCTAAAGTGGTGCTTCAGGTTAAGAACAGTTTCAGGTTATGAACGGACCTCCGGAACCAATTAAGTACTTAACCCGAGGTACCACTGTACTGTATGCAGATGCAGTGCAGATTAATTCCAGGGGGTTGCTGTGTTTGTCGTGGTAAAAGTATGGCACTGCAAAGATTAACTGGATTCTTGTACCAGTGTTTGTGGGATGCAGCCAGTTTGTCCAATGTATGAACAGGTATCCTCAGATGGCAGACATAGACAAAGGGCAAAAAATAGTATACAGTGATCCCCCCACTAAAAAAAAAAAAAAGGCCAGTGATATTTCATTGCCACAGTAAATTTGTTAGTCTTTAAGGTGCCACTGGACCTTGTATTGTTTTCATATGGATTTAAAAAGTTGCTATACCATACAAAGTGGTATTCCTGAATAGGTTGGGTTTTTTTTAAGATATCCTATGATATGGGACATTCCTAAAAATCAAGTGAAATTGGTAGTGAATTTGAAATGGTTCAGTTAAACCTGCTTCCAATTAAAGCTAGGAAATATTTTTGTATGTTATAAATCAGGGGTAATTCTTTGTTACATCATTAATCTTCATGATTAAGATCCCAATCATTGTGTTTATTATTGAATTTGGAATGGTTGGGTCACCTTTTTATACTACCTTTCTGAGGATGTTTTTTTTAAAAATTCCCTATTCTGTCAGCAATGAGTATTTTTCATACGGTGTTTCCCCTGCAAGAAACTGCTGAATGTTCGTTCACTTATCAAGAGGTTTAGCTCTGTCACTTGTGGCCTGAATCGAGATAATGGTTTTCTATCCCACTGCATGTATTAATTAGCATAGCAGCGCAGGGATGCTTGCTTTAGAATCAACACGGCTTTGTGAACAGCCACTATAATCATTTCACATACATTTAAGCATTAGCACAATTATCACAGTCTGTATTCATGCATTTCATTTCCCACTGCTTTCATTGCCAACATTTGTTTTCTCCCCACATTTTGGTGAGTATATGTGTGCCATCTTAGGAAATCTCTAGTCCATGAAAGCTTGTGCCAGAATAAATTGTTTGTGCTTGAGGTGCGTAAGACTCTATATTGTTATTTTACTGCATGCAAAAGTTGACGTTACTTTCCCATAGATGTCAAATATATTTGATCTCTTTTTGTTAGCCTTCCCCTTCGCCTCTTCTTTTTTAGTAGCTGTGCCTCTTTACCATATTTTATTTTTAGTGTCTAACTCTACACCACATGAACGTTCATGAGCAGATCATTGCATGCAGGCACATGCCAAATAAACCCAAATGTTTGTGCACATGGCAAGACCTTTGCTAGTGAGTTTCCTCTTACACTACTTATAAAATGTTCCCCGAGTCCTCCGAGATCTCTCCCTTGAAGTTGAGATGCTCTCCGCCTTGTAGTTATTTCCACTTTCAGATCTTAATTCCGCAGTGGGCTTGAATAACAACCTGACACTGTGTTTAAAAGCAGGCATCTCCAAGGAGCAGGGATAGCCAGCTCGGTCACCTCCACCCCGACTAATTAATCATGGCTAAAAGCTGAGCTCTCTCTGCAGCTCAGGAGGGAACGGACTTCAAGCAGAAGGTGCTGAGGGACACACTCTGGCCTCTTCTGTGCAGGAGAGGTCAGGCCGGCCTCTTCAGATCTGTGCCTCTATCTATGAATCTATCATTAACAGGCCTAATGAACTGCTGATCAATGCCTTGATTTTCAGTTACACAGAGCACCTTTGGCACCCCTGCAGTAAATTACATTCACTCTCCCGAAGGCCTCTCTCTCGGATGCCAGGGCCCTCGAAGTGTGAGATCAGCCTCTCAACAGAGGCGCAAATACTTTGCTGGGAAGTCCTGGGCACTCTTGATGCCTCTCAAAGTGCAAAGGGGATACCTGTCGCATTCCTCGCCCCCTTGCATTAATTGAAGGCATGAGGCACCAAGGGCAAAGCACTCTTGGCCAATGGGATCGTAGCAGGACTGTAATGTAATGCCCACAGAGTTTCTACATCAGCTCTAAAATATGTGCAGTTTACCTGCAGGCCCACAGCCTGGAATATTAAGGTGTTGGTAAGCCCTAGGATAAAACAGTGGTCTGTCTGTCTCCAGTAGCCTTCAAATATGAACACTACTTAACTTGCTTAACTTGACGAAGCAAATTTTAATTTATCACAAAGAGAGAATAAATACCACATGGTTGTCTGTCCATTTTATACTGGGAGACTGGAGCAGGAACTCTTCATTCTCCCTACACAGTTTCCCTTTTATTTTTCCATAAGAAAAACAGCTGGCAGCCTAAACAGATGGACAGTTTTGTCTCAAAGGTTCGGTTCGAGTCACCCAGTTTCCATTTCCCATCTTGAACATGGGAATGTTTTCCTTGGGGTTTTTGAAACAGCAAGACACACACACACACACACACACACACACACACACGTATTTTTCACTCTATACGATGCATCAGACCATAAGATGCAAGTAGTTTGTGGAGGAGGAAAACAAGAAAAGAAAAAATTCTGAATCTCAGAAGCCAGAACAGTAAGAGGGATCGCTGCGCAGTGAAAGCAGCAATCCCTCTTGGTGTTCTGGCTTCTGGGATAGCTGCGCAGCCTGCATTCGCTCCATAAGACACACACACATTTCCCCTTACTTTTTAGGAGGGGAAAAGTGAGTCTTATAGAGAAAAAATATGGTATATATAAAAAATATGGAATAATAATAATTATTATTATAGCATGGGAGGCTGAAAGAAATTTGCTTTCCATTTGTACAGCCTGCTCTCGGCATTTCCTGCTCTATTTGCAAAGCAGCAAGAGTGGATCCACCATGGTTCTAACTACTTCACGGAGCAGAAACAATCCTAGATGGAGTCCTTGCTGTCGCTGTCAGTGATGGATGATCTGTTTGTTCCCAAAGCACATTTGCAGTTCACATGGAGCAATGGTGCGGAGTAACAAACCACATAGGCTTGGGGTGTGTACCCCAATAATCCAACACAGCGTGCGAGAGCTCCTCAGCAGCAGACAGCTTCACACAGAAAAGTTTCCCTGGCATTCTCGAAAAACCCCGTTGTAGGTGGAAATTGGCAGGTTCCTTCTGCACCAACCACTCCCATTACTTTTTGAACAGGAAGCACCCACTCACAACTCCCCCAGGAACAAGACCTGATCAGTAGGGGGTGGGTTACTTAGTGGTGAATGAATGACACTCTGTACATGCTCAAAGGCCAATTGTTTTTAAGGAGGCTACACCCTATTAATCACCCCGTCCTTTATTTTTAGGACCGCTTAGTAAATTACAGCTTCTGGCAAATTGACATGGAGTGCCTGGATTTAGATTGGCAGGAACAGGAATAAGTTTGCTCAGTCCAGACACCTCGAAAGGGCCAGTTAAGTCAAAATGAGCCTTGATTAAAATCTGGGCCTCCTAGTCCTGTTTATCTGGCTCTTTGGTCTCTCCCCAGCCCATGCCTCTCACTGGCCTTGGAGCACACTGCCTGGAGTCCCTTTGACTGGCTAAAATGTGTCTTTGATTATGCCTCTTGCTTGCTTCAGTGGAAGGTGGAGAGATGTGGTTCTAGCACTGCAGAAGCCTCAGGCCTGTGTGTTGCTGAAATGTAGCCTACTTTTTAAGAAGTAAGGGTCACATCCCAAGCTCCGCCCACCATTGCCTCTGGCCCCACCCACCCCTTAGAAAGTTGCCTACGAGGGAATGTGGACCCCAGGCTGAATAAACTTCCATGCCATGGATTTAAACTCTTTCAGGTCGTTCACCCTTGCAAACAAATGAACCAGCAAACTAGGCATGTGATACACAACCGCAGAGAGGTTAAGGAAAACACAGTTTTCCACTGCTGTCGCTAGAGTGATGGGCCTGGCAATGTGATTGACTGTTAAATTGCCATGCATTGACGCTGCAAAAATAGGTGAAGTTGCTCCCCTTTTTTCAAGGGAGAGCCAGGTGGTGTAGTTAATGTGTTGGATTCACAACGGGGAAAACTAGGTTCAAAAGCTGCACAGCCGTGATGCTCACAGGGTCACCAATGGCCTACCTCCCAGGGTTGTTGTGAATCTTAAATAGGGGCATGGGAAAACCTGCAAACGTTGCCTTGTGCTTCTTGGAAGAAGGTGAGATGTGGATGCAGAAAAAAATACATACAGCGAGACTTTTCCTCCCCCGCCAACACCAGACTGCTAAGATTCTTCCTTTGACTGCCCTGCCATGGTTTTAGCCTCAGTGTATGGGGAAAAATAGAATCAGCTGGCTAATGAAACATGCAAGGCTTCTGTCCTCAGAGGCCCAGCATGGAAAAGAGTGCCCTGCGGTTAAAACCAGCTCCTTTGATTGTCACTATTGCCCCCCAGCCTTCAGCTTGGAGCTACAAACTCCACAGCAGTCTAGACCCTTGGGGGAGATTTTGCTGTGAGAGAGGGGGAGGGTGCAGTTATTAGCTGTGTGAAATGAGTGGGTATGGTATTGTGTGTTTGTTTGTTTGTTTCTAACTGGGAGAGGATGAACGTAGAAGCCATGATGGCTGTGTCTCATACAGTACAGTACAATGAATTTTATTCATTGGATGGTCTCTATACTGGATCCATTTGCAGAAAAATCTCCTCTTCAAATTCTTATGTTTTATATTTACCAGATATCCACTGACTATTCAAATATTTGCGAGTGAACTGCTGAATATTTTACATATGATAATGTATGTTCCCTACCTTGCTTCAGTCCCCTGTTTTCTGGCGGTTGCTTTTTATTATTCACAGCTGCACTCGCATTTTTTTAAAAAAAAAATCTTCATTTTTAATTTTTTTTGTTGCTATGAATTCACTGAATAAAAGTTAGGCATACATTTTAAAAACAAATAACTTCATTTTTTCCCATGTTGCATGCAATGGCATGTAGCATTTGGTAGTTGACATGCAATAGTATGTAGTGCTTTTTGACATTTGACACCTGTCAGTATCAAAACAATCAAGAGGTATCAACAGGTCTAAAGCCCTTGGGATAATTGTTTCACCTTCAATGTCGAATTGGAATTCTGAAAATGAAATTTTTGCATGCCGAATTTTGATAGTGAGAGAACAGCAGATTTCAAATATTTGTGAATGTTGATTTCATCGTTATTGTATATGTCAGCAGCAGTAACGTGCAGCATTCTTTTGTACAATAGCAGTAGTATGTATGTACATAGGTATCAAATCAGACTAGGTTTGATGTTGGGCATGCAATAAATAATGGACTTCACCTTGTCTATGCAGGAGCTAGTGAAGGAGAGAAAGAAATTCTGCACATGCTCAGAGGTCCCCTATTATCTACATACTGTGCAGCTAGCATTAAAAACCGACCAAATGGCACACCCTTTTCTACTAACCGAAAGGAGCAGACTGCGCCAGAACATTTTGCCAAGTTCTATTAAAATGAATGGGAAACAGAACAGTAGTACTGTATCCATTATTTTCTTTTCAGTCTGTCCATGTTGCAAGGAATAAGTTAGCTCAGCTTTTCCCAAAGTTTCTTTTGAGCCATTTGTCACCAGGTCCTCGAAATTGTTTTTACCTGAGCTAATCAAACTAATAATACAGAAGAACACTGTGCCTCTCAGGAAGTGCAGAGCTTATTCACCACTGAATGTAGACAGACTGCACTCATGGCCATTTGGAAGAACAGTGTTTCATAGAATCATAGATTTGTAGAGCTGGAAGGGACCACGAGGGTCATCTAGTCCAACCCCCTTTCACCTAACATGGACTTGCGGTCGTTTCCAAAGCTAGTCCTACTCAGAGTAGACCCATTGAAGTCAATATACATGACTAACTTAGGGCCATTGATTTCTTTGGTTCTACTCTGAGTTGGATAGAGCCCTTGGGAAGATATATATTTATTATTATTCATATTTTTGCTAACTCCTTGACTTCCTGATTTGGGAAAGACAACATCTCAAACAGCGCCATCTGTGTGAGTTTGTAGGTGGGTATGGTGGTGATTGTGGGACGCGGGTGGCGCTGTGGGTTAAACCACTGAGCCTAGGACTTGCCGATCAGAAGGTCGGCGGTTTGAATCCCCGCGACGGGGTGAGCTCCTGTTGCTCAGTCCCTGCTCCTGCCAACCTAGCAGTTCGAAACCACGTCAAAGTGCAAGTAGATAAATAGGTACCACTCCGGCGGGAAGGTAAACAGCGTTTCTGTGTGCTGCTCTGGTTCGCCAGAAGTGGCTTAGTCATGCTGGCCACACGACCCGGAAGCTGTACGCCGGCTCCCTCGGCCAGTAAAGCGATATGAGCGCCGCAACTCCAGAGTCGGTCACGACTGGACCTAATGGTCAGGGGTCCCTTTATCTTTTATGGTGGTGATTAAATTTGCTTTGACTTCTTGGGTACATCCCCAACCTGTTGAAGGTGCATAGCGGTGTGGTGGGCCATCTTAAGTTTCTTGGAGGGGGGCGGAAATAGGTGAGGTATAAATGCAATAAAAATAAATAAATACAGCACAATAAAAAAGCAGGAAGTAAGGCAAAGGAGAAAAATGTTGGTTCTGGTTGTATCTTTTCATTTAAAAAATTGAGGTATCTCCATTGGTTAGAGCCCAGTGGTGATAGCTCCAAGGTCATTGAGTAACAGAATAATAGAACTGTAGAGTTGGGAGGGACCCCAAGGGTCATCTAGTCCAACCCCCTGCGATGCAGGAATCAAGGTTTGATCCCCGTATGGGACAGCTACATTTTCCTTCATTACAGGGGGTTGGACTAGATGATCCTCAGGGTCCCTTCCAACTCTACAATTCTACAAGTCCTTTCCAACTCTGCAGTTCTATGATTTCCCAGTGGGGGAGGGGGAGCAGCACTGGCCAAGTGAGATCACCCTTGGTGCTTATAGGAACTGAAAGATTGAGATATAAATCTCTGCATAAAGAAACATAAACTTTTAACAGTGGTGGATACGATGGAGTCTCACCTGGGAATGTGCTGGGCCGGAACTACCCTGAAATTAACCCCCGCTGCTGATAGATATCTGTGTGTGTGTGTGTGTGTGTGTGTGTGTGTGTGTGTGTGTATTGGTAAAGCGAAGGCAATTTTACCTGGAGTCCAGAGAGCAGGAACCGGCGAGGTGAGCAGCAGGTCCGAGACGCAGTTACAGTCCATGGCGCGAGAAGGTTACACCTGCAGAGGCGGAGAAGGGGAAGAGGGCCGTGAGATTGGATGGGTGGATTGGGGAGAGGAAGCACAAACAAAAGCGGGGTTTGTGCCGTTTGAGAGAGGCCACAGGATGAATGCATTAGAACAGCGAGGAAACGAGTTCCAAAAAAATGGGGTGGAGTAGAGGGGAAGTGCTTGGTTGTTTTTTTCAGGAGACAGCGGAGGAGATAAAGTTCTGCCCAGCTTCTTGCGGCGCTCCCAGAGGACGACGGGCCTCCTGCTGCATCCGAAGGACTAGGAGCACTCACGGACTAAGGCCGAAGTCGCCAGCTAGCCCAACCCTCAATGCCGACCCGAGCTCCATTCCCTGCGCCCGCCGGTGCGCAAAAAGCTCAGTAGCGAAGCTCGGCGCGAAGAGGGAGAAAGAGCCCCGCGCCTTGGACTCGCTGAACCCGCGAATTATTCGCCTCTCTTTTGGGGTGCCTGCCGCTGTATTCCCCAGAAGTTTGGCCTCTCTCCGGACACGAAGTACTCGGAATGGGACGATCCGAACTCGGAAATACGCCGGACTCACGAGTTACTAGTTGTGGGTCTGCTCCCCTGGAATGTGGGAACGGTCGAATTAATTGGCATTTCCTTCCAATTAAACTTGTTGGCTTCAACCCCGAGGCATCGTGGGCTTTGTTGCGAGTTGGGCCGCTGGTGTTATGTCGGTCTGGGCAATTGCGTCCGCGTGCATTAAGGAACGCTTTGTGCCCGTGGTTGTGTGAACACGTCCCCAGAGCGAGTGCACATTTAAATTAACGGTGCTGCCTTGCACATATACCTCTGCGTGACCCTGTGTGTGTCTCTGTGTGTATGTACTTGTGTAGATCCATTTGGCCCTTGGGTGCCGGTTTCCATAGAATTATTATTTATTAAATCTGTATATCGTATTACTTATTAAATACGTCTGAGAGGGAGGCTGGTCGCCGCCGTCTACTTCTTCTTTGGCGCCATCTCGCATGCCGAGAAGCCTCCGTCCAGTTGTATAACGCCCCACAAGTCTACCCCCAAAATATCCGCAGCAGCCCACCCAACAAAGCGAATATTGAGGGAGGGAAGGGTAAAGTTTCTTTTCGTAACCTGCACATTATCATTTTACCCAACCCCTTTCAACCGAAGAGCCACAGGGAAAGAGAGAGGGCAACAGGTAGCCCTCATTAAATTAGAATGCGCTCATTCAATTAGAACAAAAAACAGACCGCGATCCTAAACACAGCCCCTTGAAAGTTCGTCCCACGCTGCGTTTGATGGAACTTTCTTCCCACAAAGCAGGCATAGGATCGAGGCCTAGCACCAAGCCCCCTCAGGGCCCGAGAAGGGCTCCCCTTTAATTGGAGAGGGGACTTCTTCACACACACGAATATAGCACACCCTTGGGAGTGCAGCCTTGCACGAGGGCAGGGCAGCTTCCGCAGAATACTCACCTGCTTCCTCCACGCCAGCTAGCAGAATAGGGTTTGTTGGGCCTAGCCGCCCTCTTAGGAATCTGGCCCAGTTAGCTCAGCCCTGCCTTACACTGACCGGCAAAAGCTCCCCAGACATTTTTCTATCTGCAGATACCTAGGACCGAACCAGGGGCCTTTCTGCGCGCCGAAGCGCGGCCTCATCGCAGCTCTTTCGCTCGCCTCTCCCCAAAAACCACACGCGGAATGTCCGATTCTCCCCGCCAAAACTTCAGATTCACAGCAGCAATAATAAATAACAGCAAATATATTCATTCCATCAGCGCGCTTTACACCGTAGCAAGCCGGGAAGCGAAAAGAAAGAGGAAATGGAAAAGGACAAGTCTCTGCCCGCAAGGAACTTACAAACTACGAAGGAAGGAGGAGGAAAGGGAAAGACAAGGCAGCAGAATAACCGAGGAAGGGTCTATACTTACGGTTTTCCCGCATGTAGATGCATATTCCCATTAAGTTGCATTAGCTTCCCACCCCCACCCCGCCGCGCCCTTTCTTGTCCCCCGCTTCCTTCCTCCCCACGGATTGCCCCATTTGCGCCCCACAACGGTTTAAAGCCCATCCTTACCTCTTTCCCGCGCCACGCGTCCATCCGAGGGTTTTTTTTTTTGGGTGCCCAGAGCGGGGGCAGTGTCCTCCCTGGTTCTTCAAGAAGCTTCGTCAAACATTCCGCCAACCCCCCCCCCCGCCCCAGCTCAGCCACCCTCCCCCCCCCAACTCAGCCGGCTTATTTGGCGGCTGAAACGCGCCTCCTCCCCCTCGCTCGCCCCCACCCGCACTCCCCCTCCAGCCACCCCGCGGCCGAGCGCGCGGCTGGCCGGGCTGTCAGATAATTACCGCGGCGGCGGAGGAGCCGGTGCCCTGGGCGACTCCGCTCGGCGCCTGGCGAGTGACACGCGGCCCGGAGAGCCGCATCATTTATGGATTCGCCCCCCGGACACGAAAGAAGGAGAGGAAGAGAAGGAGAGAGAGAGAGAGAGGGAAAGCGCACCTGTCTTCCTCGCCTGCCCCTTACACGCTCGTTCCTTCTTCCCTTCCGTCCCTTGCACATTCCCCTCTCCCGCACCGCTCTTTTTCTCTCCCTTCTTCTCCCCGCTCCGTCCCTTCTTCTCTTAACTTCTCTCCCGCTTCCCTCCCCGGGAGTCCTTCATTCTCTTCCCTTATCCCTTTCACACAGACAACCACGCAACCCTTTCCTCTCTCTTCTCCCGTCCTATTCACATTCCTTCCTTCCCTCTCGCGCTCTCCTCCCCTCTCCTCCTCAGCCTCGCTCCCTTATTCTTCTTTTTTCACCTCCTTGCACCTCCACACTCTCCTCCTCCTCCTTTTCTTTCGCGTTCCCTCCTTTTCTTCCCCTTTCCACGCCCGCTCCTTATCCCGTGTTGAGTTCCTTCTCTTCCTCCTCTTCCCCCGCTTTCGCACTCTACTCTTCCACTATCCTGCCCTCCCTCTCTCCCTTCTGTCTCCCTCTACCCCTCTACCCGAGGAGATCTAGAAACGGAGGGAGGGAGGGTGATGGCGATGGGGCGGGTGGGGAGAGGGTCCGAGCTCCAGCCGTCTCCTGAGGTGTCCGGGCGCGGCGGCGGCGGCGGCAGAAGCCGCTCCAAGGGTGACGGCGCCTGAGCTCAGCGCTCGGCTCCGTTTGTCTTCATTAGGGGCGGGTGTTTGCTTGTAACTACTCCTCACTCCCCACAACAGCTCCACCGCCGGCATGAGGCGGGCTGGAGTGGCGGGGGTGTGCGTGGGGGAGGCGGAGGGGGGCGGCGATGAAAGAGACTCTCGCTGCGAGAAGCGAAAGTAAATAGAAAAACAGCCGGAAGAGACGAGGAAGGAGCATTTGCGCTCACCACCACACCGTCTCCCTGCCACACAACTGTTGTTGTGTTTGTGTGTCTGAGAGAGAGAGGGGGGGGGAACAGGGAGCAAAAAGTCAACACCCTCCCTCCCGCAGTTGTAAACGCAAACATGTTTGAACAAGAGATCTTTCCCAAGGCAAGAGGGAGTTAAAAGTATTGGCGGCGGAACGGCCCAAAACTTTGATTCAAGCGGTATAGTGTGGACGAGGAGTGGCGTCCGGCTCTCCTCTGACAAGAACCACTTGTGTGTGTGTCTTCTCAAGCGGATGCTACCAGTTTGGGGGTGGGGTGATGTGTTTTCAGACTGGGATGCAGGTGGACAAATAGAAGCCTCCACCTGCCTTCGCCCAGTTGCTCTCCAGCCGCGTACCTGCTTATGCCCATCTCCCCTGTGCAGGTTATGTCCGTCTATCTCTGTATTTACAAAGGCGGGGGCTTTACTACTTCCTACATAGGCGCAGGGACATAAGATCAAATTCCAGAGATCTGGTGACCCGGCCTTAGCAGGGTGGGTGTGTGGCTGGGAGACGGCGGAGGAAGAAACATGAATGACCGGAAATTGAGGAGCGAGAGAAGGTAGAGAGGCAGGTGGAGTGATGGGGAGACGCTCCACAGAGGTGTATTTAGACATCGTATCTGGAACAGAGTCGGTTTAAGACCAGTTTAGCAAGACACATTAGCTACTGAAATCGAAGAGATCGGGGTGTTCCAAAACGCCGATAGATAACGGTGACATCGCAGCTGTGTCCCCGCGTTCAGCACCGGGGACAGCTCCGCCTAATAGCGAAATGGCGCTTTTCTCTTCCAAGCAACCCAACACAGAACGCAATACGGATAGACATAACTTCCACCCAGTGTCACCCCCTTGCCACCTTATTTCATGTAGTACCCCTCACCTGCCCCCCCCCCTTCCCGAGCTCCAAGGATGTCACCGAAGCCCCCGTCTTCCTCTCTGCGCGCCCCCCGCCGCCAGCTCCCAGCCTCTTGTCCTTGGTTGCAGTAATTTTCCGTTTGATTTGGGAGGTAATGCATTTTTTACAAATCAAAGAGGAAGCTAGCAGATCCCCCCGCAGGCCCCCAGGAGCCGGGGCCCAGATGAGAGGCGCAGATCATTTCCTTGTTAGTTTTGATTTCGGTTACCGAGGCTTTCAACTTCCCTCCAACCTCCTGGAGAAATGTTATAACAAGTAGCCGAGGGAATTTTCCCTTCTTTGCTTCCCCACTCCTTCCCTCCCTCCTCCCTCCCTCCCTCCACACCCCCTCCATTTCTGCCCCCTCCCCTTCGCTTGCTCGCTCGGTCTCATCTCTGCATATTTCTAAAGCGAGGAGGGCGTAAAACAGCCGCCCAAAACTGAAAAGAAGGATGCAGGAGAGACACGAGGCACCAAGGACGCCCCCCACGCCCCCCCACCCCTATGAGACCCCCACTTTCTTATTTATATATTTATTCACTCTCTTCCCACAAATTTTCCCCACGCGGTCGTTTCGAGAGATCCAAAAATATTTTTTAAAAGTTAGCGTTTTAGGTCAGAGGGATTATAAAATCAAGACACCCAGGTTTTCTATTTTTATTTTGGATGGGGTCTGGTGTTATTTTTGGTTAGGATTAAATGTTTGCTGTAAATGTGCCTCCTCTGCACATCGCTGTGATCATTCAAGGGAGAGG